ATTATTGTAGAATGAGTATAAGGATCCAGGAGGGGTGGGAGAGGCTGGAAGCAGAGGGATGTGGATGTGCAGGGGGAGGAGGGGATTAACATTGGGTTGTACAATTTGATGGGTGGGAGGGTGAGGGAAATTGAAAGAATTTGTTCAAATTTGCATTAGAATTTTGTAAATAAACTAGTGGGAAAAAAGAAAAGATTTTCACTACTGGGCCGACTGGCAGCATCAAGATAGACAGTGAAGAGATTGAGATTGTTAACAGCTTTAGTTTGCTTGGCTCCACAATCAACACTCTTGGTACCAACAGCCAGGAAATCAAAAGATGGATTGGGAAAATCCGCTGACAGGGACCTTTCCAGAAAAGAGCAACAATGTCAGTCGGGAGACTAAAGTGCACCTGATCCAGGCCGTGGTCTTCGCAATTACTTAATTATGCATCTGAGAGCTGGACAGTGACTAGGGAGGATAGAAGGAGAGTTGCCGCCTTTGAGCTGTGGTGCTGGGGAAGAGTATTGAATGTACCATGGACTGCCAAGAAAACAAACAGGTCTGCAATGACCAGAACGAAGCCACCTGCGAGTTAGCAGCAAATTTCTTCTGTGCATTAGAGGTTTCTGAAAACCCCCAGGAGGGTCAGCTTGATGGGACATGGCATGGCACAGCTAGCTGGGAGCTCCAGTGGTATTGCCCGTCGGGAGCTGTGCTGTTAACTCACAGGCGACTCCTCTCTGGTCATACCAATCCACCGGTGTCCTTGCACGAGGAGGAGGAGCAATCTCCCGTGTGACTTACAGCCTCTGAAGCCCACTCAACGGTCCGCGATGAGTGGGTTCTGAGTCCACAGCAGCAAGCTGAGTAGTAGAATAGCTGGAACAAATAGCATTTCCACTGTCAGCTTTCTAAGAAAATGCTAAATTGCTTTGCTTAGCTGTTACACCATTTAATATCTCTGACTCTCCCACACCCGCCAGTGCCCCACACCAATGGAGCTCCACACCAACAGAGTTTTCCCACGTGTAATCTTTATGGAAGCAGCTCGCCAGGATTTTCTCCTAGGGAGCTACCAAAAAAAGCCTCAAACTCACTGCCATCGAGTCGATACAGACTCATAGTGACCTTCCATCATGTCTCTGAAGACAAGCAGCCTGTGGGGTCACAGAACAACTCACTACCTGAGCTTCCAGGTGAGCAGGTTCAAACCACCCACCTTTCAATCAGCATCTGAGTTGCCCACCTTTTGGCACCGAGGGCGCCTTTGTATTACCAAATATGGTCATTAAAAAAAGAACTCTAACAACAAACAACAAAGAAGATGATGGAATTTAGCAATTGCCCTGCGCAGCGCTCTCCCCTCCCTCAGGGGCACATGTTCCTAGAGCGGCTGCAAATCATTCCAGACGAGGCATGGGACGGCACCCACAGGCACGTGTGTGAACACACTCACTCAGTTCTCAGATGGATAGCAAGTGATTGATGGTTAAAAAAACCATGGCCTGAATCAGGGCCCTCTTAGTCCTCAGGCTGACATTATTTCTCCTCAATAATTTAAAGAAGTCCCTGACTGCAGATTTTCCTAATGTAAAACATCTCATCATCTGATTGTTGCTACCAAGGGTAGTGATTGTGGAAGCAAGCAAGATAAAGTTGTTGACAGTTTCAATCTTTTCTCCCTCTATCATGATGGTGCCTATCAGCCCAGGAAGAATTTTTGTTTTCTTGATGTTGAGATGCAATCCATACTGAAGTCTGTATCTTTGACCTTTTGCAGCAAGTGCTTCAAATTCTCCTCACTTTCAGAATGCAAGGCTGTGCTATCTGCATAATGCAGGTTAAAG